GGTGTCTTTGGTCCAGGGCATGTGAGCCTTTTGTAAATGGCCACAGAGCAGAGGTCTGGATGTGGCAGTGGGGTTCTAGGCCTTCCTCAGCTCCTCGTGGGGTGACCCCCACCCAGATCAGTCAGAGCAGAAATTACTGTTAGCGTTGCACAGCACATGCCCAGGGTGGATGGCCACTTGGAGAGGAGCTGCTGGCCAGTGAGACCCAGAACAGGATTCTGGCTGCTTCGGATGGAGCAGTGACCATGCTCCAGGACCCAGGCCCATGTCAGGGGGCCAAGTAGGAAGAACTGTGCCCTCAGGAAAGAGGCCAGAGGCAGGTCTTCTCAGTGTGGATGAAATGACAGGATCCTAGCACCTCAGATGAGGGGTTCCCCAAAGTATATTCCAGGGAGCCCAAGGGCTCTGACCACAAATGAGGAATGTGGGAAATCTGAATGATGAAGGCAGCATCTGTTTCTTGACTGATCCTGACAGCTTCACCACCCAAGAAGGGGTTTGCCTGACTCACATGGCGGAAGCCTTGCGTGGTGGTAATTGAACCTCTTGGGGAGCACATGCTCCGCCTGCTGTCTGTCACCCTGTTGTCACCGCAGAGTGTGGAGGCCCTGCCCCAGGCCTATGTGGCTCACTGACGCAGTTGTTCCCTAGGTATGTGCAGGAGGTCATCCAGCGGGGGCGCTCTTGCGTCAGGCCGGTGTGCACGCCCGTGCTGAGCGTGGTGCCAGCAGTGTCCGACACGGAGCTCTCCGAGACAGAGTACGTGCGTCCCCTGCGGGTCCTCTTGTACTGCTCATCCAGCCTGTGCTGTGGGCCAGGGGCTGTGGAGCAGCAGCTGTTTCCCAGGGCGGGAGCCCGGGCACTGCACTGGAAGAGCTGGGGCTGCAAGCTATTCACAGGCCTTTCCTTCCTGTCTCTGTCAAACGGAACACTGACCATCCACGTGGTGACAAATGACCAACTGGTTAGAGAGGAAGTCCCATATGTCACCCAGCCAGGACTCAGGACTTAGGATCAGGGCTGCACCCATGGTTCCTTTGACACGCTGCTGACTGAAAACATCAGCACCTGTGGTGCATGTCCAGGTGCTGTGTGCACAGCGAGCCTGGGTTCTCACGTGGGATGTATCTGCTCCCCAGGTATGCATAGAGTAGGGTGGGCGCTAGGAAGCTGCAGGCCACATGCAGACAGTGCTGGCTGCCCCATCCTTGCACTTCTGCTCAAGATAGAGCAGAAGGAAGTCCTCCACCAAAGTCCTCACCAAGCTTACCCCAGACAATGGCAGCCAGCTCTGATTGGCCCCACCAGGTCACTCCTCAGGGGTGGCCCCTGGAGGAGCAGGAATCTGTCTCCTTTCTGTAGAGAATGGGTCCACACAAGACCCCGAGGCAGGCTCCCAGAACAGGCTGGGTTTGAGGTTTCAGGACTATGGGAAGGAAAGCAGGTGCCATGGAGTGTGGCTCGAGTGGTGGATAACCACACAGATGAAGTGACTCCATGGTGTGTGCCCAGGAGCACCAGGGAGGGGAGGGTCCCATGGAGAGAAGAGCCCACTGTGAGTTAAGGTGGCCTTCCTGGCATGACACTGGTTCAGGAGGCTTCTTATCACGCCCAGCTGGCAAGAGCCAAGAACTGTGCCCATGTGTACCTGGGCAACTGCAGAGCAGTCACAAGGACAAGGGGTGCTGGGGGACAGAGGAAGTGCTACCTGTCCCAAACACAGAATGGCTGCTCAGGACCCATCAGGGTGAGGGCCCTACCCCAGCCTGAGTGGGAGATGGTGCTGGCCTCACACCCCTCTCTGGAAATCTGGCTGGCTGCTGCCTCTGGTCTTTGGACAAGCTCTCTGCCATGGGACAGGTCCATTTCAAGACCCAAAACAATTGTTTGTCCAATTCCTGGCCTTCAGATGTTTTTTCATTTGGGAGCAGTAGGCTTTATGTGGGGTACAAGCCGTGTAGTCCAGCCTAGAGGCAGGGGCTACATTGGTTCTAGTGGCCTGGCCGCCTTAAGAAGCAGGTAGAAGGATCTACTGTGGGCTCCAGCCCTGAGAAGCCTGCTGGCCCATTTCATGTGGTGTCAGGGGTGCTGCCTATTAGCCAGTCCAGGCCACAGTGAGGCCAGGAGCTTCCCAGTGGTGGAGGAGGGTGGCAAGTGAGCTGAGGCACTATGGAGACGTGAGGCAGGCAGGGAGGGGGGATGAGCTGGATTCCACGCTGTCTCTTTGTGCATAGGGTTGGGGCTGGATGCAACTGTATGGGTGGGGTGAGCATTGGGGCCTCTGGATGCATGACGTTTCTGAGTGTGTGGCAGCTCACTCCTGCAGGCCTTGCCCCATCGTTTCCTGGGGAGCGTGGGGCCTGTTGGGGAGATGACCTGTGGGACTCTGAGCTCAGCAGTAACCACTGTGTTTCTGCCTCCAGGACGAAACCGCAGAAGAAGGCAGGAGGTGGGAGTGCCCAGTTGTGTGACAGCATCGTTGTGGCCTACTACTTCTGTGGGGAACCTATCCCCTACCGGACCCTGGTGAGGGGCCGTGCAGTCACCCTGGGCCAGTTCAAGGAGCTGCTGACCAAGAAAGGCAACTACAGGTGAGAGTTAAGGGCTGTGGTCTGTGGTAAACAGGTACCCTGTCCAGGAGAGTGTGTGCTGGGTGCCCTATTCCCACCCTGTTCTTATCCCATCTGGTCCTTGTTTCCCTCTTACCTGCTTAACCAGCCCTGAGCTGTTGGCAGGAGCACCTTGATGTGTGAGGTGCTGATGGCCCCAACTCCCAGCCTTAGGTGACTGAGGCCTCCAGGTCAACCGAGGGGTCTGGACAGTCCTTGCCTTAAAAGCAGGGAAGCAGGCCCAAACACAGTGGTCTGCCTGTCCCCATGTCGGTCTGAATCTGGGTCAGCCTTTCTCCAGCCTTCTGACTCAACCCATTTTCACTAGACACAGAATCCAGGACCCCCCTTTCCAGGGTCTGCCGTGGGCTGCTCTGCCCTGCCAGCCTGAGACTAGCCTCTGAAGGCTCCTGAGTGAGCACCGTAGGAGGAAGGGCCACATGGGGTCAGCTCACTGCGGCCTGTGGTGGGTGGTTTCCTCTATCCCAGTGATGGCGAACCTTTTGAGCTCGGCGTGTCAGCATTTTGAAAAACCCTAACTTAACTCTGGTGCCTTGTCACATATAGAAATTTTTTGATATTTGCAACCATAGTAAAACAAAGACTTATATTTTTGATATTTATTTTATATATTTAAATGCCATTTAACAAAGAAAAATCAACCACAAAAATGAGTTCGCGTGTCACCTCTGACACGCGTGTCATAGGTTCGCCATCACTGCTCTATCTACTGAGTGGTGAGAAAGTGCCCTTTGGAGGTAGAGGGTGTGGCCACTAGAGGAGGGCGCAAGCTCTGCTGCCCTCTGCACATCGCCCTGATGGAGATGGGAGATGACAGGCTCAGACCTTAGGAAGCAGAAACCCCAAACCTGCCTATGTCTCCCCCATAGCATCCTAGAGGCCAGGGCAGAGGACCCCACAAGTGGTCACTGTACTGTTCACTGTCAACTCTCTGGCAAATGGGCATCAGGCAGAACCAGCTTGCATGCCCTGCATGATGTACTTGGAATGTGGCCACCAAGTGCTGTGCATGTATGGAACCATGAGGCACCACGCTAGGAAGTCGGGAGGCCCCTAGGGTGTGGGGGTGTGGGCAGGAGAGGAGTGGACAGGCCCTCATCTCCTCTCACCCCCGTCCCCCAGATATTACTTCAAGAAAGTGAGTGACGAGTTTGACTGTGGAGTGGTGTTTGAAGAGGTTCGGGAAGACGAGGCCATCTTACCTGTCTTTGAGGAGAAGATCATTGGCAAAGTGGAGAAGGTGGACTGACCTGCAGGCCACGCCTCTGCACCAGGCAGGGCCCTCATCAGGTGGGGCAGGGATGGCCACACTGAGAGCCCGGAAAGGCTGTGCCATGTCAGGTGCTCTCATGTGTATGCAAACACGCGGCTTCTCGTGTGAGGCCAGGGACTGCCTGCCCTATAGCCACCCACCCCTTTGGTCCATCTGTGTCCAGGTGAGCAGGGGTCCCGTTGAGTGGTCCCACAGGTGTCTGTCCTGCTGCCAACAAGGAGGGGGCCCCGTCCACTCCTCCACAGCACTACTCTGAGAGTCCGCCCAAGCAAGCAGGGAGCAGCCCCCTGTGGGGCCGCCTTGCTGACCCTCCCCAGCGGAACCCCGCTGCTAACCACGGGCCAACCTTCTGGCGCCTCCCCCCAGGGCTCTGCTTCTCCCTCCAGAAATTGCCCACCATGCCCTACTCTGGTCAGGGCCAGCTCAGGCCCGGGGTTCAGGGGGCTTCTTGGGGGTCTCTAAATTGTACATGTCACCGAGTGCCTTCAACACAGCTTGTCTCTTGCCTGCCACTATGTGGATCCGGCGACGGGGCACCTCAGTGCTCCCTCTCCACCCTCAGTTTCCACAGCGCCGGCTCAGCGGGTCCCGGCTCTTCCTTCGTAAGGGCCCATGTAAATATGTACATTCTCAGGCTAGGGCTAGCGGGGGCTGCCCCGAGCCCATTTTTCATGCGCTGACTTGTACAATGATCTTTTAAAGGTACTTGGATAATAATGAAATAAAACGTTTTTGAACCTTCCCTGGCTATAGAGTGCACGGATCTTCTGTCAGTGGGGTCTGGTGAGTGGGTGCCTCATCCTCAGCCCAGTTTCCGGCACATGTGACCCGTCTCCTCTATCCTGGCCTGGTTATGCGCAGCCCATATTCGGCCTCAGCAACAAGATCACACTGGCACCAAGGGTCTTGGGAGTAGGGTGTCTTGTGGAGCCAAAGTTGGCAGCAACACCATGTGGGGATCTAGAAGCACCTAAGCCAGGGGTCCACGAGGAGGTCTGGGGGCAAGGGCTAGGCCCCATCCCACATGGAACCCCAGGAGGCTGAGATTTGGCCAAAGTCAAATGGGGGCCGGCCATGCTCAGGAACCACACACAGTCCAGGGCCAAAACTCTTTATTCAGTGCCCACAATTTCCCAGGCACCGAGGAGATGGCTCCCCTGCACTGATGGGGTGGCTACAGCTCCTCCTTGAGATCCACGGTGGAGTTGGCTAATGTATCCTGGAAAGGTCACAGAGGCCCAGCTGGAAGCTGTGCCCTTAGCCCAACCTTGCCCAGTCAGCCCCATAGCCACCCATCCGAGGGCATGTCCGAGGCCTGGAGCCTTGGAATATAGGCACTCACCGGGAAGGGAGCTGAGGGCTCCTCGGCGGGCTCCTCTTCGGGTAACTTGCCCCCGTTGTCCAGGAACTTGGAGAAGGTCTCCAGGTCTCTGGCACTTTTGTATTCAATCACCTGAGGGGGGACAGGAGGGTTTGGAGGATACCATGTCCTCCCAGATCATGCCCTGCCCAGACCACACCCACTCTAGACTCCACTGGCTAAGGCCCCACCCTACCAAGACCCTTTCCTGCCCCCAGGCCACACCCTATACTAGCTAGGCCTTGCTCTCTAAGACCACAACCCCTCCCAGAGCACACCTACTAAAGCCACACGCTCTAAGACAGCGGTTCTCAACCTGTGGGTCGCGACCCCTTTGGGGGTCGAACGACCCTTTCACAGGGGTCGCCTAAGACCATCGGAAAACACATATATAATTACATGTTTTTGTGATTAATCACTATGCTTTAATTATGTTCAATTTGCAACAATGAAAATACATCCTGCATATCAGATATTTACATTACGATTCATAACAGTAGCAACATTACAGTTATGAAGTAGCAACGAAAATAATTTTATGGTTGGGGGTCACCACAACATAAGGAACTGTATTAAAGGGTCGCAGCATTAGGAAGTTTGAGAACCACTGCTCTAAGGCCTTGCCCCATCTCCATCTAAGGGCTCAGACATCAGACCAAGGAAGATGGGGTCCTGCCTCACCTTCCGACCCTGCCCTGCTGGGAAATACTTGAGGGTGGGAAAGCCGTGTACAGGAAAGCCCTCCAGTTCATTGGCCGTGGCATCTAGCTCGGCAATGATGATGTCTTCGTGGTCCCTGTACTTTTCGGCCAGTGCCTCCCAGGTTGGTGCCATCTCCTTGCAGTGGGTACACCATGGGGCATCTAGGACAGGGGGATGTTTGCACAGCCAGCAGGACCCCATACTGCCCACCTATCCACTGTCTCCTGCCCTCCACACTCACAGAACTTGATGAACACATTCTTGGTTTCGTCAAAAGCCACCTGCTCGAAATTCTTGCCCACAAGAGTCTTGACAGGATGTTGGTCCCAGTCAGGGGGGACCTCTTGACTCAGAAGATAGGGCTGGGGGGAACCGGGCCAGGTGCTTTGTTGGGGATCTCTCCTGAGAGCTGCTGCTCCCACCCCCACACCCTAGGTGGGCCATCCAGCACAGACCTTGACCTTGCCGCTGAGGACTGAGTGGCAGAAGGTGGTGACCCAGGCTGCAGTGACCGGCCCCCTGTCTGCAGGCTTGTACTTCTTGGTGGTCTCCATGTTGATGAAGCGCAGGGTGGGGGCCTCCTCTGCCCTGAGCCCGAAGTACTGTAGCACGTGGTTGTTGTTGGCACTCACGTCCACCACCACGAACAGCACCTGCCAACAGGGAGTATGCACTGGGCACTGGCCTCCCCCGCGCCCGCCCCTCAGCCCACCCAGCCAGTACCTGCCCCCGGAATGGGGGAGCTGCCTCCCTAAAGCCTGCCAGCAGCTCCTGGTGCGGGGCCAGTGTCTGGTTGATGAACAGCAGCAAATGGTTGAGGATCCTGGCCGCAAAGATCTTGGGGGACGTCTGCAGGGGTAGGCAGGGCTCATGGGAGCTGGCTCTGTGGTCACCCTCCCACTCCACCCAGTGCCCGTTCCTGTACCTGCAGCCCAACTCACCTGGCTGTTGAACTCCGTGACCAGGTGCATGCTGTGCGTGAGGAGGAAGCGGGACAGATCACCCTGGTCCAGGCCCAGCTCCTCATCCACTGGGAAGTCTGCCCGCCCCTCGTCAAACTGGACAACACCCGGTGGGTCAGTAGGAGCAATAGTCCTGTCCCTAACCCCTGCCTTGGCCCAGACCCACCTTCTTGAAAAGGACCACGGTGTCCTTGGTGAGGCCAAACTTCTGAAAAAGCTGCGGATGATCAGTGAGGCCAAAGGTCATGTCCAGAGCATCCTGGGCCAGAGCCAGGAAGGTGGCCACGTCCTCATCCTGCAGGTCCTAAGGAGTCCACGTCTGTGAGGCCATCTGGAGCCACAGGCCCCGCTCCCAAGGCCTGGCCCCTGTGCCACTAGCTCACCTGGAAGAAGCCGATGACCACTACGTCGTGGGCATCTATCAATGCTTGGGCGCCCTCTTCATCCTCCAGGCGTGTGGTGCTGGACCCCACCCGCCGCCGCAGCCACTCAGCAATGCCCTCGGCTTCCCGGGGGCCTGTGGAGAGTCCCATCAGCCTGGGCCCAGCCCCTGGCCCACACCCTCGCACACAGGCCTGCCCCCTGTACCAGTATACTCCTCCGGGTCCGTGCGGTTCCCATCGCGGAAGAACTTGAGCGTGGGGTACTCGGTCACAGCAAACTCCTTGGTCAGCTCTGGCTCTGAAGGCCCATCCACCTTGGCCAGCCTGGTTTTGGCTGACTCTGCTGCCAGCAGGGCAGCTGCCTTGATGTACTCAGGGGCCAGCGCCTTGCAGTGCCCACACCACGGGGCATCTGGGGGACAGGGCCATGAGTGTCCCTGGCCTCCATGGCCCTGGTCACAGCCCCTGCTCCCGCCTGGCCAGAGCTGGCAAACTTGGGGTCAGTCAGCTCCAGCATGGAGCTTGTCCTGTGTACCTCCCTCCTGACTCAGCCACACTAAACCCAAGCACCAGAGGCCAGACTACTCAAAGCTCCCAGATCAGGAGTGCAGTGGCCAGCACCTTCCAGACAGTGAGTTGGAGAAGAATCTTCCGTCGCTGCTCCCTGAGGCCGTGCTCCCTGCCATATGCCTGCCAGCTCAAGGGCTTTTACATGTGTGAAGGGTTGTCAGAGAGCCACAGGAGAATATGCAAGGTGTGAGCTTTATCTGGCTCTTCACAGTCTAACTGAAGGTCTCCCTTATACCTGTGCCTCCCCTCCCACCTGCTCAAGTTGGACCCCCAGACCAGCTCAGCCCCAAGGCTCTGCCTCAGATGGAGCCAAGTGCATCAGCCCCGGAGTCCACGCGGGAGGGGGCTGAGCACCCTGGGTGACACCGGCGGGTCCCCCAGCCCTGCTGACCCTGTGCACTCACAAAACTCCACCAGCAAGGCAGGGTGCTCCTGCAGGGCCCGGCCCAGGGTGCGGTGGCTCAGCACCAGGATCCCATCCTCCTCAGGAACCTCCTCCTTCCCGGGCTCCTCCGAGGGACCCCCTGGCCCCGGCCCCTGGCCCCGCAGGCTCAAGGCCCCGAGCAACAGCAGTAGCAGCACAGACAGGAGCTGGCCGTCCATGGCAGTGCCGGGGCCCCCGGGGCGGGGGCAGATAAGGGGGCCGGGGGCCAAGCAGCGGTGGCCACGTGGCGCCCAGTCCTGGTCGCAGGAAAGATAAGGCCACAGCCCCCCCCCCCGGGGGGAGGGGAAGCAGACAGAGGCAACACTGGGCACTGAGACAGGTGGAGTTTAATAGGGCTATTCAGGGCACAGCGCCAGGCCCGGGAGGGGGTGTCCTGAGACGGGGCAGAGGGCATGAGAGGGCTGGTCACTGACTGAGGGGGCTGGAGAATGCGTGAGGGTCCCTGTGCAGTGACTGACAGAGGCAGAGGGAACAAGGACCCCGAGTGGGGAGACAGGTCCTGGAGCAGGGCAGGGGGGTGGGCGCTCAGCTCTTCCAGTCTTGGCAGATGTGGAGGCCCCACTCCCAGGAAAGGTGGTCTGCCCTGTCGTCATCAGTGAAGAAGGATGTGACCACGTAGGCGCCCCTCACCAGGGCGCCTCTTGGCGCCTCCTCCACCGGAGTTACAAACTCATACTCCTGGGCTCTTGGGCCATAACTGCCCACCATGTACACAGCCTTGTCCACTGGGGGAGGAGGAGGGCATCAGGGGCTGCCCTCTGCCCCATTGCCCCCCCACCCGCCACCCCCC